CCTCTGAATTACTAACATGGTGTTAGCACTGGATGTCAGCAATCCTTCAAAGACAACGATGATCGAACACAGAGAGTCGTCTAACATCCTCAACTTGGAGGAGCCAGGTTTCACAAACATAGAGCGAAACTGCTCTCACCGACGCGTTGTAGATCCGACCTTTTACAGCCAGACTAACATTACGAAGGCGCCAAAGATGGCCCAGATTGGCATAAGCCGCTTTGACTTTCATTATACGTTAATCGATTTCATTACTCACGTCACCACCAGCACTTATGTAACTACCTAGATACACAAACTTCTCGACTACTTCAATCTTCTCACCACCCAGGGTGAGCACAGGATTAGAATCCTTCCAATCTTATAGATCCGTAATAAAAAATAAAGTTGAAAACTAGATAGCTACTAGTTCAGCCAATATTCATCATTTAGTAATAATCGTATCTGTTTTAACGAACAAATTCAACTGAAAATATGTTCACAAGTACCCATGAGAAGCATACATTCCTACCTAATGTACAGTTCGTTTACGTACCACATAAATGCTTTCTCACGATGTTATTTTTTGCAAAAGTACGGCAAAAGTTACGTTTTCCAACCTCATGAATACTATTATTTGAAAAGTAGTCATTCCATTTGTTTAGAATCCAAGAAGGAACTCACTATAAAACAGACCATTTTGGCATGCTTTGAAAACGTTTCATTCTAAGTACGTTCGTTTATTTATATCAAGACTGATTATAAATTAAACATCCCCAAACATTGAAGCAAGTGTTCATATTCAAAGGAATTTACACACATCTTTGCTTTCGATTCTTGAAATTACAATATTCAATTAAAGGTGAATCAAAAATGTTTGGACCCTTGGGTATTCCTAAGATAATTAAATAACATATGATGAAGAAATAAACCAATGTCTGTAGTTAATAATAGCTTTGAGAATGTTGAACATATAACCACAGTTTATGCGTCAAACGGAAGTTCACAAAATGTAGATTATGAGACAATAACAACACTGTTGAAAACCATTCCTGCTACCGGTACTAGTGTGATGCTTATGCAGTTCTCACACACTTGCTCAGATCTGCTTTCTTTGGTACCTTGATGAGGTATCCTTCTTTCCAGTCTGTGAACACTTGTTCTTCCTCTCAAATCTTCCTGAATAGAATGTGGAGCAAACTTGCACTGATATGTTTAACTTCAGTGCTTCAGATGATATATTGTCTGAACCTTCTTCTTTGCCTATATCTGTTGTCTCTACCAAAGGATAGCCGAGGTTGTTGACATTCCGCTGAATCTGGGAAGGGTTCCGTAGACGATGCGGTAGATGAGGTGGTCTGATTTTGAAAGATAACGTTCAGTGGAGCATTTTGGCGAGTCAACGTTATCCGTAGCAGGTGCTGCCTACTGAGAGTCACGGTCGGACGTCAGTACTAGTTTTCAAACACTAGATACTAAATGAACCAGTTGTCCACTCAGGACTGTTTTTATTGCTTTAAAGGGAAAAAGCATGAGCGTAAATCTATGTTTATCTGTATTCATCATTTTTGCTCGATCAACCTGTGAAAATTCGAGCGGACCGTTGCGAGCACCGAAATGGCCTAAAGACCCCGTGCAATCCATTATGGTATATGCCATAGAGAAAATGAAGTAGATCTCTTCATATATGTTTTCTTCTCATGACTGGCCCCTTGCGTTCTTGTAGTATGAACTGTTTGTTTTTCAGTTTTCTGTATTTTTACATATTTGTTCTTATTAGGATTGATCGCAATTACTTTTAATTCGATCTTAACAAACTCTGAATCCCGAATTATTCCTTGATTTTGTTAGATCTTTCGATGTTGATTTGATGATTGTTTTGCTCAAGATTTTTTGTGACGGTCACCATATCGGGTTCCCATACTTTTGCTGATGTTTTGTTAACTGATTGCGACTTCGAAGTGTGTATTTCAATAGTTTCATGAGCGTGTGTTACCAACCATGAGTAATCAATTGTATCCCTTATATAATAATTATTTTGTTGTTAAATACTCGTTTTTGAAGTTAACTGAATCGGCCTACATTTTTTCATGGGTAGTATATTGCTCCCTGACTAATAAGAATATCTTCCTCATTGTGATATTTGGGTCTTAAAAATTGTCTGTACCAAGAGGAAAAACAATACTCTAGATACCATATAACTTGTTTTTACTAATACATTTTCTCATAGACTCCCTTCAGTATATCATTTCTGGGATTAGTAAAGTCTATTAAGTTGTTATAAAGAAATTGTTTGCCGATATCATATTTTATACTGCTGAAATCAAAAGAGCGTACCTGCCGATGTCACTGACACGCTAGATCAGTCTGAATTCCGCATCTAACAAGCTCCTTAGAATGGAAATCCATATGTGGTAAAACTGAGTGATTGTTTTTCAAGGCCTGCATATCTGTTGGATCGCCAAGCCGTTAATATCGAACTCTAGTAAAATAGAACCTCATAGGAAAATGAGTAAGCCTAGGTGAATCTCTACTTTAATCAGCTTATCTAAAATTTCAGTGCTATGGAAGACATGGATTAAACTACCTATAAAATCTATGGTGATTCACACAAATAATAATAAATCTCATGTACATAATTAGACAACCATGGAATCTTTACTTTTCTTATCAAGAAAGAAAAACTCAAAGTGCTCATAAGCTCAAACGTAAATGAAAGGATGAGTTTGTGATTGTTATGATCATGTAAGGTCTGAGTACCTCATGCCATCGGTCAACGTTGTACGATGAGATTAAGCAACTACCTCTAATGAATTACACGGTGCATTTTCATCTGAAGTCTTCAAACATCTGCGAAATATTGCCTAAGCAGTCAAATTATGATGTTAATGTTAAGGTATTTCTGTTCCTCTTTTGGTCATCCGAAAGGCTTGTTAATCGCTTCGAATCATTATGTTACATATTATAGACATGCTAAGTGGACATCATTGTACATTCTTTTTAGATTATGATACCTAACCGAGTACGTGACTATCTAACGCATCGATGCAATCCATGTATGTAACTTGTTATCAGTTTTGTGACGTACTCAAATGATTTATCCGTGAGTTTGTTTTTGTCTAGTTGCAGATCTATCTACTCGTTAGCCGTATTCCATTATTATAAGCAAGGATAAATAGTGGATCGCTGTGGAATCCAGGACGCGCGTTTCGTTCTATTTGGTACTCGTGAACTGAGTGTACCTGCACCTCAAAGTTGATGTTCACTCTGAGATTCGAACTCAGTACCGTTTGCTTCAAACGGCATCGTGTTATCCACTCATCTACCCAGTCCTAATAGTCACTTGCTTGTGGAATAGGGTGAAGTTTAATTTCACTTGATATTGTTTGGTTGAATCTTCCCACTGATATTTAGGTATGTGATTGATCAGTATCTTCTGGGCATATGTGCATACTAAGCGTATTGCCTCGAAGATTCAAACAAACAAACCAAGTGAACTTAAACTTCACTCCATTGCACAGGCTAGTGACTATTAGGACTCAGTAGTTGAGTGGATAACGCGATGGCATCTGAAGTAAACGGTGTGATCATCAACCTTAAGATGCAGATAAATTCCGCTCACGAGTAACAAGTAGAAACGCACGTCTAAGATTCCACTGCTTACCACTATCCATCTTTTCTTATAATGCTTGTGAATTAAGGCTATATCGAGGTAATGCGCACAGTATGCACATATGACCATAAGAGACTGATCAATTGCATTCCTGAACATCAATGGGAAGATCCAAATGTACAATACCAAGTGAATATTTCACCATTATTTAGATCTATAAACACTTGAGACGTCCTGACCAATAGAACTACAGACATTGTATTCATATTGAAGTAGTCTAATGCAGTCTTGAATTTATTTCTCTGCAGCACAACTGCTGTCATTAAAATCTAATTTAATAGCCAAGAGATATAATTCTGATGTTAATTCAACATCAATAGTATAACGGAATAGTACTAATCTTAATAAGCCTAGAACTTTGTAAAGATAAAACCAAGAACTCAGACCTGAAGTACGCAGCATGAACTCGAATCGTATTATCACGATAGACTCAAACAAAACATAAGATATTTAACTGTACAGCAAATGTTTTGTTTGTTAACCACATACAATTATTTGAAATCAGCTGTCTCCATTCACGGAATTGTATTTTGACTGTTTATTACCACTGTATGTGCTGACGAATTAATGAACCGTATATTCAGGGACACTTGTATTCTGAACCTACATAATTCATTTGTCTTCGTCCATTGAGTATGGAGATAAGAAAGACAATAGTCATCTCCAGTATGCAGACCATTGCTTTTTACCATTCCAAATAATTCGTAAACAACCACATGCTGTCTCACTAACCTTTCCTTAAGAATAGCTCTTGTCTCGAAGAGTTTTTAAAGACTATGATAGGTCACATGCCGTCCTAACACAAAACTATACATTCATGTTGCTTGATAGACCTAAATATTATCGAACATGAAAACTATGACCAGTATCTTAGACAACTAATGATTTTTTCCAGACATTAGCCCTAAGCCAGAATACCCAAGGGCGCAAAATTCCAGTCTTCGACTTAGAAAAATGGCTTGAACAAATGGCTTGAAACTTGTCAATAACGAGCAAGTAAGAAGTCTGTGACTGTCCGAAACGGTCATGATCATGATCCTTACAGCAAAGATCTCAAATAGAAACACTTTCCCTGAGTTTCTCACGCAAAGACAGCAACCGAACAAACAATCGGGTATTGTTGAAATCTGATAACAGCAACTGTAATCTCTATTGTCGTACAATTTAATGATTTTTCGCATTTCGTGATCTGTATGCATTTTACAATGAATAGCCTAAATTAAACAACTTGTTGTGAAGAACAATTCATATTTGGACATCTTCTGTTAATGTCTATACATTCAGATACTGTTATCTCAAGTAAAATGATTTTCAAGGACTTCGACATATTAGACTTTATGTAAGGTAAATTTCGGTGGTGGACACAGTCCGCGGCTATCAAAAGTAGTTTTGTGAGTCATTTTACGGTGAGCGTAGATTATGTATAAGTTACTGGTATCTTCAAGGCAAATGAACACTTAATCTAAAATCAAATATAGGTCAGCTTTTTGTAGTGTTCTACCCTGGTAATTCTATTTTACTAATTTACACTGGTGAATGAATGACCTTTCTCGAGGTTTTGTATTGAATACTCAATACAAACCCAGTTTTACAATTACATCTTGCCATTAAAATGTTGAAATACGACTCAGTGTTTATTTATCTGACAATAATCTGGAAAAACAAACATTGTTCAAAGAATTTGAGACAAAAAGGGAACTTATCGATTTTCGAATGTTTGAAAATAGTGTTAATAGACTGTTTAACAGACCTTTTTAGCAAATTTATTCTGTCTTGCTAATGTATTAAGCTCATATTACTAGAAATACCAATGCTGCATTCATTAGCATTAGCATCCAGACAAAATGAAATATATTATCAAAGCAAGGGTAAATGCTAGTTGTTCTTTTCAATAGATGTACCGTTGTAGTAAATAGTCATTTTTATATAATATTGACAATTATGAACCGATATTATTTAAATGTATTTCATACAACACCGACATTCTTTGTCCGTCCATCTTAAAGCATTAGCAGACAGACTTCTATTAAGTCAAGATTATAGTGTAATGTTGCTTTCTGAAATCCCTATCTATTTTCCAACTCTAACCACTTTCTATGTTTATTCTTGTTCAGACCGAATGTTTATTTTATGTAATTCAAACTGTTTAGCCATACTTTCGGTACTTTATTTACCCCATGCATTTTCCATTCATTAAATTATTAACAGTCATGTGCATTACCCTGATTACATTTAATTTACGTATATGATGTAATACATTATTTTGGCGGTTGCGTAGTTGGCTTGCCGAATTATCATGTTAACGACAGTTTAGCTTAACAACCTCAAGTTAACTGTATGGTTTTGCCCTAATTAGTATTTCTTTGTCCAACTGTACTTTATTGTAGCTTAATTCTTTTCACTACAAAAGTATGTATCATTTCTTGCCACAAATCACTGTATCTAGTTCTCATTCATCAATCTACCTTTAGATGTTTCTTTTAAAATCGTTATTATTATTATTGTGTTCTGTATGTTTACAATTTTATTTCCAGGTGATATGGAACAGTCTTTACGGGAGCTCAGAATCGAAAATGGCAGTCGTGAAAGTCATTACGGATATGTTTACGCTGTGTCAGGTCCTGGTGCGTACACTAGTTTCCATAATTCGTTAACACCACTTACCCTTTCGGTTCCCACTGCATTTCTTTCTCTATAAACTGTAGACTCTGAAACTGAGGGAAGTCTGACAGCTCATGGACTTGCAATTAATGTCCTCTAGGTAACCAAAGGATATCTTCGTCAATGGACGTGCCTCAAAATTTAACCATTCTAAGTCGTCATCTAGCACTAATTATAAGGTTTAAATAAGTATAAAATTCTTTTTTTTTCACTAAAATACTTGAAGTCATTAAAATCTAAAATTATTCTATCTAATCTCCTTAATTTTGTCCTTTCAAATTTCATACCTTTGAGTACTGATACGGCCTAAAGTAAGGAGGGCCCACCCTCTCTCAAAATGCTCTCACACAACCACGCGTATACAGCCTCTGCCAGAGAAGTCCTACTCACTGCCTTCTCACACCACGGGTGTTTTTTTTACAAAATTTAGAGGACGGAAAGCGAATGTCCGGCTCTCTAACCGAGTGGACACGGTAAGTCCACCTAGGTGAGTTGGAAAACCCTGATTCCAAACCAATGGTGCACACGGGCTCCAGTATCTTAAAGGAACGAATGGCATATGAACCAATCGCTGGTCACTGACTACCATCGGACGATGCTCCACTGCCTTGTGGATCAGACCTTTAGGTCAAAGGCTGGGGGTGTGGTCCCCTAAGGAAACCACCTGTTTCGGTTTGGGCACCCGGGCAGTGTCATAGCCCTCACACAATTAAATGAAATGACAATTTTGTGTGTGGCGCATATATATCTGGTGTCTCCTTGTAAATTTTTTGTGTTCAAATAAATAAATAAATGATTTTACTGAACATATATTTGGGCTCTTCACTGAGTCCATGTGAAAGCTATCTCTCTGAATGTTATCGGAAACTTGATGAAATGGTCATACTATTGCTTACAAGTTTTAAAGTAATAGTTGGTTGCCTCTGTGTAGTCATCACAAGCTTTTGTCTAAACATGTTTCTTTCAACACGGAAGTACAACTAAGTAGACATATTGACAGTAAAATATGACACAAAAACATATCTCGTTAGTTTTGAACACTTCTAAAGCACAGAAATAATGGTCATTATAATAGAAATTGATTTAAGAAGGCGAAAATAAGGATAAAGGTAAATAAACAATAATTAAATATTGTAAATAATGTTTTCAGTATATAAAGATTGGTCACATATGCATATGTATATTCCACTTTGACTGATTTTAAAACTTTCCGTCCATTAGTGTCAGACAGTCTCATTCTAACTGCATAACTTACCAGGCAAAGCGTCAAAGTTATGTTAACTATATTTTAAGATGTTTCTGTCATGTTTTTTATCGTTTGATACCTTTATACTCATCATGTGTGTTTTCTTTTTCACAGTTGTCACCGCATCATCCATGGCTGGTTCTGCCATGTACGAGTTAGTTCGTGTTGGACATGATGAATTGGTTGGAGAAATTATTCGTTTGGAAGGTGATTTGGCCACTATTCAGGTGTATGAAGAAACATGTATCCTTTTAAAGCCAAATTTCGTATTACAGCTTCTTTTCTTATAGTGAATCTTTTAAATAAGTGTATACTCTGATGATACCTAATCACTCTTACATTGTACAAAGCTTAAACTGCTCATTCCAAAGAAATGTTTTCGTAATAAATAATTTCATGAAAACCAACCAGGTCTAATGAGTTGATGTCATTTTAAAAGACGAAAATTTAAGGAGTATGGGACATCTGTTTTATTTCTTGTTCGAACACTAAATAAACAAACGGGATAGTTTTTAAGGTCTTGATTAATAATTTCAAGTTGTTTGATAAAAACCATCTTTTTGAATCAATAGATCAAGAAAGTTTGACCATTAGTTCATTTGTACGTATTAAAAAAGATATGACTGTATTCTTTATACTTTTTCAAAATGCAACATTTGATAGAACATATTTTAAAATCCCAATACATGTTGCACCCATTTTGAGGTTATTAATGTTCGTAAATCGTGTTAAACAGTCTATTTTCTATCCTCTTTCCCTTAACAATTTCTCCTCTTATAGCTGGTGTAACTGTAGGTGACCCTGTTCTTAGAACTGGTAAACCCTTATCAGTTGAACTTGGACCTGGGATTGTCAACAATATTTTCGACGGTATGTTTATCTGCATTGTTTTTCAAATTTACGTTTTCTTTAATGATAAATTACCAACTTGCTCATGGTTAATTGTGTAATCCAACTAACGGTTACTATTGTTTGTCTTCCACACTTTATTTCTCTGAGCACCATTTTGTTCCAAGAACAAGTTAAAGACGGGATGACTTTGTGACACTGTATTTATCACATGCCAAACATGACACAGCCTACGTATAGTCAACTTATTGGTTGCTATTATTCAAGATTTCATAAACTATTGCTAATTTATTAATAATTTCCTTCCACATTTTATCATTGTATCGTGTTACCCACATGAGTCGAAATCGAAAATTACCGTTTACCTCTGTTACATAGAATAAGTACTGATGAAATAGTCTCAAACTATCGAATTCCAACCATTTAATCACAGTCCCCAAAACCCTCAACCCAGTTGCATTTAATTTAAATAACCGGTCAGTACTTCTAGTTCTCACATGTGAACCTTGTACAGATGATTTTTTGCTTTAAATGAATAGATAAAGAGAAACTTACATTGTTTTTGCAAAGAGAATAATGAGTGTTTAGCTTTAACACCTGGTCGTATGCAGCTGGATATGTTTTGTGTGCTTTTCCTAAGTTGGCTAAACAGCAGAGTTACGCTTTTCCATCAGTCATATTTGGCTGTTAACATACATATTACAGTTTTCTGCATAGTTTCATCCATCTCGTATTCCATTATAAAATAACTCAGTTATTAAGATAAAGTCTATACCATGTGATCTCTGCAAGATCGGTTAGATCATGCTGGGTAAAGTTCTATCTTAGCTCTTGATCGAATGATCAATTCAATGAATCACACCTCTATGAACTAAAAACTAAGTTTATTTGGGCTTATTTGTGTATAAGGTTGTTCAGTCACTTTGTTTACGTAATCATAACAAAGATAATAATGCTAAGATAATATTTTGAGATATGTTAGGAGGCATGTTTATTCATAATTTATCCTCAGCTGTTGTATACATTCTCAATCTAGTATAATCAGATTACTCAAGATATCTCATACTAGTGTCATTAATTTGTAAGCCACTTTGCTTATTGCCGTGTTACGCATATTAAGGTTAGTGTTAAACCGATCATAAAAACAGATTTAATATTATACATCTTTATCATAAGATATTTGTCAAATGTTTTTTATATTCACAAAATAGCACTCATATCTGCATACAAAAGTCTTTTTTCATGACATTTCTGTCATGTCTTTCAAGATTAAGTTATTTACTGTCGTTTCTTTTAAAAAGATAGTTGACTTATTGGTTTCACTTGTTTTAGGTATTCAACGCCCTTTAAAAGGCATTTGTGACTTAACTAGTTCGATCTATATTCCAAGGGGTGTAAATGTTCCTGCATTAGATCGTAAAGTTGAATGGGAATTTATTCCGACACCAGGTTTAAAGCCTGGAATGCATATAACTGGTGGAGATATTTATGGTATTGTGCCTGAAAATACTTTAGTTCAACATCGAATCATGCTTTCACCTAAAGCCCAAGGTACAATAAAATGGATTGCTCCGACTGGACACTACACATTATCGGTAAGTTGTAAAATTTTGTGAATATCAGTTATTTTTGCTTGATTAACCTACGTTTTGTTAAAAACGAACCAGTCACCTTAATCTACGAGGATGTCAAAGAATGAAGTTTACTAAAATTTACTACTTCGAAGCTGGTCAAACGTTTGATAGACATTCTAATAAACCACATTATCACTTTCATCTACCCATAGCTTATAGGAGCATATATATATATATATATATATATATATATATATATATATATATTTATATTTATATTTATATATATACTTCACGTTATATTCCCTCCTTGTAATTGGAATCTCAATAGAGGTCACGCCTGATTTATCTCTAAACACCTACACATTCCTTACTATGTGATCATCAGTAGTAGCACCACATATTAAATTTCTCAACTGTTAAAGGGTCAAAGCTACAGAATAATTACAAGGTTGCGCGGATCTGGTTGTTGGTCGTTGCCATGGGATCGTTCATTTGAATAATATAACAGTCATCAAGTACATAAATAATGTATTACTCTCGTGCCCTTTTGTCTCCACAAGCTTGAAACTTAGATTTAAGGCAAAACTTATTTTCTAATACCTTCAATTACTCAATGTTTATTTACGTTTTACGACTTCTCACCTATAGTCTGACGTTGATTTCATGTATTTTATCTTTTCGTACATACACAGGATAAAATATTGGAAATAGAATTCGACGGACAAATCAGCCACCATACTATGTTACAAGTATGGCCTGTACGTCAACCTCGTCCAGTGGCTGAAAAACTACCTGGTAATCATCCACTTCTAACTGGCCAACGTATTTTGGATGCTTTATTTCCGTAAGTATAAACGTTAATATTTTCTGAATTTGTTGTTAATACAGATGTTGTTAATACAGTTGTTAATACAGATTTATGGATAAAATGAAATTGGTTCAATTGAGTTTGAATTCACGACTGTATGACCTATGACCTGAGCTCACTGTTCTAAAGCATTTGGAACTTTTTAATCGGATTATACGGTTGTGCTTTGTTAGATTTTTTGATAAGACTAATTTCTTCCGTTTCAAGTCATACGATATTGAGTGAGTAAAAATATATTTCATGCATTTAGGTGACTACTTTCTATTATTCGATTTTACTTCTAAGCATCTCTACTCCTATCCTCAGTCCTTTTCACTTACTACATGGCACAGATTGCCCATCAGTTCTAGTTGTCATACTTAATACTAGCAAAGCTGTTATGTATTAAGATCTCTGACCAATGTCACGTACAAGTCACCTGTGCGAATCCTTATTCTGATTTGGTATATTCGCGTCTACGATTCCCTCAATGACCTAGTGTCCTCAAATTGATCAATTACACTCTCGATCAGCACTATGGACCTTAAACTGAAACAACTAAGTTCCTACTGGTCCGTTATTCTTAAGCTCCTCACTATGCATATTGAACTGCATCATAACATAAAACCAAAAAATCACAATTATGGATGAACAAGCCAAAAATGGCTGCGAATAAGGAGATTTTAAATAATAGGATGAGAACAAATTAAGAATAGTAAGCCAGGGAAGTCCTACTCACTGCCTTCTCGTGGCGGGGGTGTTGTTTACGAAAGCGACAGGACGAAAAGCGAATGTCCGGCGCTTTAACCGGGTTGGTGTTCATGGAGGGTCCATTTAGGGGAGTTGGAAAACCCTGATTCCAAACCAATGGTGCACAGGGGCTCCAGGATCCTGATGGAACAAATGGCGTACGAATCAATGGTTGATCACCGGCTACCATGGGACTGTATCTCCTCACGATGTTCCGCTGCCTTGTGGATTAGATCTTTCGGTCAAAGGCTCCGGGTGTGGCCCCCTAAAAAAATCACCTGTTTCAGTTCGGGCACCTGGGCAGTATCACAGCCCTCAAACAAATCGAAAGATTTGTATGGCGCATATGTATCTGGTGCTTCCTTGTACCAATATTTATGTGTTTAAATAAAATAATAATAAATAATATACATTAGTTAATATGTGAACCGAAAGCCTATAATAAATGGAATATATGTACGTAGTAGTCTTGTCATTCGGTAATTATACAGCAAGAGTGTGATCAATAATAATTCAAAGAACCAGTTCTAACTTTTACAATATTCGTTCCGTTTAAATAGAAAATGTCAAGAAGTCAAGTGAAAAGATACTAATAAATAATTACATTGATCGCACTGCTACTGGTTTCAGATGATGATAGAGCTCAGAATCCTATGTTTGAAGCTGTTAATTGTTTATATGCTGTCATTATACAGGCTTTTTGAAATGTTTTATACAAAGGAATTACGCTTACTATCGTATTACTGACTCAATTGGATAAACCGGATAACATTTGAGATAAATTCCAAAGGGTACATTTTTTTATGGATTCAATATATAATACATTTATATCGAACTTCTACACTTGCAGACAGGCTAAAACTTACCAATCCCATGCTTCAAATTGCAAACCGCCTATGAAGTAGGAATTTTCAAATTTGTATCATTGCTAGTATCCTTCAGAAAAAAAAGTTTGGTTCAGTTTAGTAGATAATTCACTCAATACATGATGAAGAGATTCTATTTTCTGTTTTAAAATTTTAGATGTGTTCAAGGAGGAACTACTGCAATTCCTGGAGCATTTGGTTGTGGTAAAACTGTTATTTCTCAGTCATTATCAAAATACTCTAATTCGGATATTATTGTTTATGTTGGTTGTGGTGAACGTGGCAATGAAATGTCCGAAGTGTTACGTGATTTTCCAGAGGTGATTGATTGTTATTTTTTGCTGTTTTTGATGTTAGTAGTGTAACCTAATGTGAATTATTACTATTATTATTACTATTATTATTATTATTATTATTATTATTATTATTATCAGTGTAGGATTGTGGAAATCGTTGAGTTTTTATGGAGATCATGAACCGATCAGTGTTAGGCCATCATTAAAAACCTGGAGGTGTTTGGTGTCGTGGATGCCCACTTTTAAGGATTCCCATACTAGGATGAAATGCCCATCCAGTGTTAGTGACTGGCTTGGAGGGGTAATTCCCGGAGTTTTCCAGTGAGAAGCTGCGACCAGTGGAGTCCAACCTTGTTGGACGTAAAACAATCAACCACCGAAGACAATGTAATGTGGTCGCGCTATATCGCGGATTGGTTGCAGTCAGGCAATAACATCGTTGGATGCCAGCTCAGTGATCTAGGGGTTGAGCGATCGCACTGGAGACCGAAGTTTTTGGGTACAATTTCTGCGTCCCGGACCTAGGATGCTCACTGCTGAGGATTCTCATACTAGGACGAGACGATCGTCCAGCCCTTCCAGGTGTTTAGTAGTGGTCTAACTGACATCGGCTCATTACTCCAATGAAATTATTATTATTATTATTATTATTATTATTATTATACGTTGGTTGTCAGTTGAACAATGAATTTTCCCACAAGGATTTTTTCAATCACTCCGTCTAGTATTCGAAGTAAAGACCTTCGATCATTTCTAATCAACCTCCTTCCAACCAACCTTGGTTGAAAAATGACTAGGAGAAATTAGATCAAGCTACGGCATTAATTTCTTGAGTGTTAGTGTGAGTCATGTTAAGAGGCCAAAACCTCCTTGTTAGGACTTGCCCTAGTAATTGTAATATGTAGTTTGAGGCGTTAATTGGTAAAGCACAATTGTACTCACATTCGTTATAATCTTCCATAGCCTAAATTTAGTATTATTCTTAACCTTGTACTTTTCAGTTTCATTTGTTCCTTCTCCAATTATAGCTATCATGTTAAGATTTCCGTCATTATTTATTCTTCTTTGATTCTCATTTCACCGATTCCTTTTCTGTCTCTCTCTTTATTCATATGAGTTGTAGGAACTTTCACCGGTATACATCCCTCCCCCGGATGTCGCGTTGATCATAACTCTCTAACATAGGAATGACTCTGTTTCTCATTACTATTGCTAATAGTTTCGTTAGATAACACCTACAATCCATTATTATTACTCAACTAGTCTAAACTTGTTATTAATAATGTTTACATGATAACAAAATAAAACTGTTCCTTAAATAAATTGTTATATTGAGTAAGGACACATGTCCTCACATCTACATAGATACGCACACACTCACACATATCTCATTAAAGTTTAAACTGAGAAGTGTGTATAGGTACATAGTTATTATAATGGAAAGCATGAATTTAACTTTGTTATCCATTACACTATGCACCATTGATTTCTGTTTTTTTTCTTCAGATCATTCTAGTCGTATATGTGCATTTCCATTGACTTTTCATCACTTGTTGATTATTGAATTGTAGGAAGAAAAAAGGATATATGTAGATATATAGACGTTTTAGCTGGTTGTCATGCGTTGTTCTCTTTAGATTTAGTTTGAAAGTACAGAGAGTAATGAAATGTACACATCAGTGTCTTATGTTAATCTTCTAACATTTTTTTCATATAAGATTGATTGTGTATTTATGTTTAACTGGAAAACTTACCATTTTATTTTACATTTTTTTCTTCTGAGAACTTATGTTGGTTTGTAATGTCAAGAACCAGATAGCTTAACTATGAGAAATATATTTTATGACCAACAGAGATATGATTACTACATTGGAAACTGTTGAAAGGATACTATCTTTCTGTCAATACTCTTTTTGTATAGAAAAAATAGGAGTGGAACTATTTGGAAGTTTTGATCGCAATTTATTTAAAAATGTTTACTCCATTTATTTAATCGTTTACATAAAAGACTAATATCTTTCTTGAAAAGCGAATGTTCAAAGTCCAAGTCAGCTAATCAGATGTTATCTCATTATTGACTTAGTATTGCTTGTTTGAATCTTCCCATTGATGTTTAAGGACTGCAACTGGTCAGTCTCTAATTGGCATATGTGCACACTGTGTGTATATAGCTGTCGATATAGCCTTATTTCACAAGCATTGTAAGCAAAGATGGATAGTGGCTAGCTACTGAGTCCTGGTCAAGACTCAGTAGCTGAGTGGTTAATACGATGGCGTTTGAAGTGAAAGGTACTGGGTTCGAGTCCCATAGTGAACATCAACTCTGAAATGCAGATACATCCAGCTGACCAGTGCCAAATAGGACAAAACGCGCATCCTGGATTCCACTGCTAGCCACTATCCCTCTCATTATTGTTTTTATCACACTAGAAATAATTAAATCATTTTAAGGCAATCAGTCGCTTTGATAAATTTCGATAGTGTAATAAGAAGATGAAAATTATCAGAACTATGTGATGTATTAGCGCAATACATTTCGAACAATCTGACCACACAGAATATACTTGTTAAGAACATTTATATGTAAAAATAAAAGGTCAACTAGACTTATCTTCTCTTACCCCCCATTTCCAGTCTAGTTGACCTTTTATGTTCTTAACAAGTATATGTGTGGTCAGATTGTTCGAAATGCTCTAGTACATCATATAGTTCTGATAATCTTCGTCTTATTACACTATCGAAATTAAATCATTGCATATATTGATAGTTTGATGATTAAAGATCTTAAACTATTAAGCTGCATTTTCAAACTTTTCTCCTCCAAACTTCCTATTTGTCAGTAGATTAGTAATGTTTGTCCATACGCTAAGCATTAAGTCCGTAGCATAATACACAATCATAAACTTGGCTACTAAGTCATGTTACTCAATTGATTTTTTTTGGTTTCTTACATCGCTAGTCCTACTTTCTTAATCTCCTGCATACTACGTCCCCTCTTATTAGTCAACCATTAGGCTTGGTATAAAAATGAGTATGTGCTTGTGTTTGTATAAAATTACATTTGCCAACACTTCATTAATTATATTGTAATGACCTAAGTTTTAGGTAGTGAACCAACTTATTGTTTACATAAAAAGTACACACTGTATTTGTACAATATGAAAACAATAAATTAAATACACTATTTACCGATCTTCCTTGAGTTGTACCGTACAAACTCAATCGTTCTTTCATTCCTGTTGTTATTTCGATTGCTTCGTGTTTTTCTCTCCCTTCTTCTCAATTTCCTCTTCTGTCCGTAAAACTTCTACTTTCGATCCCTGACACATATTACTTATGTATGTCCATACAAGTAATCCCTTGTTTATGTATATAAATTACATGTAGTTAACAGTTGAAGTTAATGGAAAACAAGAATCAATTATGCAACGTACAGCTCTTGTAGCAAATACATCTAATATGCCTGTAGCTGCTCGTGAAGCATCAATTTATACAGGGATAACATTATCAGAATATTTCCGTGATATGGGTTATAATGTTAGTATGATGGCTGATTCAACTAGTCGTTGGGCTGAAGCATTACGTGAAATCTCTGGTCGATTAGCTGAAATGCCTGCAGATTCCGGTTATCCAGCTTATTTAGGTGCACGACTTGCAAGGTTTGTGAATTTTTTCTTCTCTCATTTCATTCCTTGGCAATTCATACAATTCTTTACTTATGATAACTTTTTTTTTCCCAGAATTTTTTATAATTCATGCTATATTTGTATATAAATAATAAGGTTGTCTCGTTTTGTCAAACATCCAAGTCATTTATTTTCAGCCATCCAAGTGTTATAATTAACCTTCTTTTGTTAGATTTTGTTTGAACTGAGTGTTTATGAATGCTGATTTTCGGTCAGTCCGTCAACCGCGACGTAGAATCTGTAATGCTTACACATCGGTTCGAATTGCCTAACTCCATTCGGACAGCAAGGTGAAATTGTCAGGCCGAATCTTAGAATAGTAGAGGTAGTAACAGTATTACGTTAATTGAAAAGATTAGGCATCCAAAAATACAATACGAAAAAAATATAAATCATTGAAATAATAAAAAAGAATTTATGAGAAATCTAAAAGCTTAACGGAGAGACAAATGGTGAATAAACCTGCGCCATTGTAAACTGTTCTAAGACATGCCATTCGAAATCTCTAACCACTGGTTACAATAATCACACGGACCTCAATCAAGAAGTCTGTACCTATGAACGTGACTCAGTCCAGTTCTCAGTGACTACATGAACTGGCACCATATCTTATTTTGGCCACCCCTAGCTTTCTTTCAGCTTAATCCTATACCAGATAATATCGCTCGTCGAGGTAAGCGGTAGCTCGGCAACATAACAATGTCCCAGGTTTCGCTTACTCGGTGGACCCAAAGTACACTAGCGATGCTTCAAAGACACCTATGATCGAATACGAGTAACGTATGAACTTCCTCTATTCTTATTGCATATGTTTCACATTCACAAAGTAGGATGAGACGAACTATTGAATAGTGAACTCGTCCTATGTTTGACAGACGAATATCTCGTCTACTCCACAAGTGATGCAAGTTAGCGAAAACTAAACAGGATTTTGAATACGAATGGTGAATTTTTGTTTTATATATCCATATCTAGGTCTGAGAACAGCCTTGATTTCTCAGATATATTCTTCACAAACTCTATTGAGACGTCGAAGTATTATTGAGATTGATATTTTAGACACTATTAGTCAAACTGATTCTTCTGTGATTATCATGTGAAAACTTTTGTCCTTATTTAGAGACTGCGACAATCAGTGATCAAGACCACTCAGATGGGGTTTCGTCCAGGTTTTAGCTAAGTTCCCAGTTAATCTAACGGTATGCTAATTGTATATACTCATGCATCTTGTGTATGATGTATGGAAATAATCTCTGTGACATCTGAACTGGTAGAGAACTTTCTTAATTAATGATAGGTAACTGATGTGGATTGGTAAAATGTTGTTGTTTTTCTTTTGTATCGTCACATTTTAATTGAATGTTAAATTAAAACTTTACGATATTCCATTATTAGTACTTGAAATCCTTCCCTGTAAAATATCTTTGGCTTATTGATTAAAGCATTCGATTTGCAACAATCTAGTCTCCGTTTTGAACCTCGTTTCACCTACTTTGGTCTGAATAATCCGGTAGTTTTATGTTTTACTGTGAACTGTAAAGAATAAAAGAAATAAATCTAGGTACTTAATTATTTTGTTATAAGTTTTATCGAATTATAACACAACTTATGCCCTGATACGGCCGAGAGTGGGCAGAGTCCGCTCTTCCCCTCGAATTGCTCTCATACGGCCACGCGTATATAGCCTCTGCCAGGGAAGTCCTACTCACTGCCTTCCCGTGGCGGGGGCGCTGTTTACGAAATTGAGAGGACGAAAAAGAGAATGTTCGGCGCTTTAACCTGGTCGGTGGAGACGAAGAGAGTCCACCTAGGGGAGTTGGAAAACACTGATTCCAAGCCAATGGTGCACATGGGCTCCAGTATCTTGAAGGAACAAATGGCGTATGAACCAATCGCTGGTCACCGACTACCATCGGACGATGCTCCACTGCCTTATGGATCAAACCTTTAGGTCAAAGGTTCCGGGTGTGGCCCCTTAAGATAACCACCAGCTCCAGTTTGGTCACCTGGGTAGTATCACAGCCCTCACACAATAAAATGAAATGACAATTTTGTGTGTGGCGCATATATATCCCCCTTGTACCAATATTTATGTGTTTAAATAAAAAAAAAAGAAATCCATCTGACTTTAGGTATTGTGTATTTTCACATCTTAGTTCGGTATTTGTTTGTATTGTCAAATAAGGCATTCTACCCGGCTAGAAGTTCAATTCCATTGATGCTCCGTTATACAAAAACACATTTTAGCTACTAACAACGTCATGGCTGAAATCTTTGAAGTTAGATGCTTTTGTATGTAAAATAACATTAGTCGACTAGGCAATTTTGATCTTTTCAAATCATCATCTTTAAAAGAAAATTTATTTATTTGATATTTAGCTTTTATGAACGTGCTGGTCGTGTACATTGTCTCGGTGGTCCAGATCTACGTTATGGATCAGTTGGTATTGTCGGTGCTGTATCTCCACCTGGTGGTGATTTTGCCGATCCTGTCACATCAGCTACATTAAGTATCGTACAGGTTTGTAAATATATCTCTATGTTTTGTTTTAGGAATGATTGCTTCTACGTGTAAATTTAACTAGAATAAGAATAGGTTGGAAGAAAGCTAATGATAGCCAAACCAAAACATTAGTCTTTGACTTTACTAATTGTTCGTCTGAACTGTTTCAAAGGTAAAAGGTTCATGTTTACGGTTCGTTAGTTAATCACCATCTATATATCTGAATACCCTAAGCGTAATATGACTGGAAATTGGTCACAAGGAACAGATACACTTATTATTTACTTTGACTGGTTTGTTTTCCTTATCTGTTCCCTTCATTACTCGTTTTACTGTTGTTACAAAGTGTATTACTTTGATCTAATAAAGATAAAGATTATTAATGGTTGAATTCATGAGTCAATTTAAGCTAGACCACTATTGAAAACCTGGAACCACCAGACGGCCATTTCGTTTTAGTAAGGGACTCCTTAACAGTGTGCATCTACGACCCCGCACTGAGGACTCGAACCCAAGACCTTCGTGCTCGCTTGTTGGATCGTGGATGCGCACTGTTCAGGAGTCCCACACTAGGATGAAAAATTATTACAATCTCCACAAACCCCCATTTTAATGATAATGAAGATTTGTTTCTTCTTTAATAATTAACTCAATTAAGAATAAATGAATTATCAATTAGAAATTGTCACATCTATTCATTTTAAACATTTAATTAACAACCAATTCACCACCTATTGAAAAGAGAGAGAAATGTTGTTAACCACGTTCACTGTTAAATAAAAATCACATTCAATAGAACGTAATTCGCACAATTAAACTGTGCATACTCTGTACATTGTAATTGACCTTTAAACTTTACTATTGATATGATCAATCTATTTTTATTACTGTTTACTTATAATAATAATAATAATAATGATGATGATAATGATAATGGTAATCATAGTATATTGGCAGCATTGTATAGTAACCATAATCATTTGGATAATATGAATGATACTTTGTTTTCATGAACAACCTTTGTTCAATCTTCTTTTTTTCAAATTCTCATAGCTAACAATGAATAGTTGGTTTGATATCGTTCTTGTTTTAACTGAATTATTTATTTAAATTTATTTAAACACATAAATATTGGTACAAAGGGGCATCAAATATATATATGCCACACACAAATTTCATTTGATTTGTGTGAGGGCTGTGATACTGAAGCAGGTGGTTTTCTTAAGGGGCCATACCCCGAGCCTTCGACCTAAAAGTCTGATCCACAAGGCGGTGGAGCATTGTAAGGAGATGGAGTCCCATGGTAGCCAGTGACCAACGATTTATTCGTACGCCATTTGTTCCCTCAGGATAATGGAGCCCATGTGCATCATTGGTTTGGAATCAAGGTTTTCCAACTCCTTTAGGTGTACTTTCCGTGTCCACCAACCCGGTTACATCGCCGAGCATTCGCTTTTCGTTCTCTTAATTTCGTGAACAATACCCCCACCACGAGAAGGCAGTGAGTAGGACTTTATTGGCAGAGGCTGTATCAGCGTGGCCGTGTAAGAGCATTTCAAGAGACAGGGTGGACCCTCCTCACTCTCAGCTGTACCAGGACATTCGAGGGCATTTTAACTGAATAGCAAAAATCCTATTAATCCATTGAATGATTTTAGTCAATCAATGTAAAGAGCTTGGCTCATATATATATCTATATCAGTTCACGTTGTCAATATCAATTTTAACACAATAAGATGAAATCAACAATACAAATCCCAGTAAAGTAGAAAAAGTTATAATATATCAGTAGTTGTAAGAAAGATTGAGCATAGATGATGGTATGGTTTGAAAAGAATGAATGACTTCTACAGAATAAAAAGAATGAATATCTTAAGAAAAAAAGTGAATCTATATTATTTATTCCAACTAAATCTGAGCCAATATTATCTAATGTTTCCAACTATAGATTATGATAATCTCGTGGATTCCAACCGGGTGATATACACCTTCCTAGACAACTCAGTCCAATAATCACTGATTTCATGGGCTGACATTGCTCATTGTTATCGGCTATCTTTAACTTTCCTCTAACTTAATCCTGTATTTATTTATCTATTATTTGAACACAAATATTGGTAGAAGGGGGCACCAGATATATATGCGCCACACAAAAAAATTGTCATTTCATTCAATTGTGTGAGGGCTACAATATTGCCCAGTTGCCCAGACTGAAGCAGGTGGTTTTCTTAGGGGGCCACACCCGGAGCCTTTGACCTAAAGGTCTGACCCACAAGGCAGTGGAGCATCTTGAGGAAATGCAGTCCCATGGTAGCCGATGACCAATGATTGGTTCATACAGCATTTGTTCCCTCATGATCCTGGGGCCCATCTGCACCGTTGGTTTTGAATCAGGGTTTTCCAACTTCCCTGTGTGAACTCTCCGTGTCCACCAACCCGGTTAAAGCGCCGGATACTCGCCTTTCGTCCTCTCAATTTCGTAAACAATATTAATGCTACGAGAAGGCAGTGAGTAGGACTTCCCTGTCAGAGGCTATATACTCGCGTGGCCATGTGAGAGCATTTGAAGAGGAAGAGCGGACTCTCCCCACTCTCGACCGTAACGGGGCATTCGGGGGCAACGTAATCCTATCACAGCAAACAAAATGCATACCTAATGTATGTTTTAATCACTTCAGTCGATTAGGATTCACTGCCTCAGTAATTGGTTTACTGTCTTTATTTAATATCTCTGCATCTAACCTCGGCATTAAGTTCGTTTTAATTTTTATTAGTTTAATTACTCATTTACTAAGTATATGGATTTATGCTAACTTGCCTTCGAGTCACATATTTTGTTTATGTGTGAGGATTAGTAATATTAACCGAATATAGATGAGGCAGGTTTCAGATTTTCCATCTACCCGTTGTACACTTAATGCTTTAGCGAGTAAATTGCCACTTTTTCATGGTTTCCAATTAATTGTTACTGTCGTGCACAAACACGACTAAATACTTATACACTGTATCAACAAACTTTCGTTTCCATATGTCTCTGTGCAAAAGAGGAGAGAGACAGTATGTCAAAGTCGTTTTATCATATGAAATTCTTTCGAGGTCATCAAATATTTGGGCAATCTTTTAAGCTGCCATCTCCGAACACGGTTTACTTAAAATACATAGCAATATTGCTAATTTCGAATTAAATTTGAAAAATGTCTCAAAATGATTACAATCATGTCATACAATCACTGGTTTCTACCCACGGTGTGTTCAAGGATTATCCTCTTCTGAAAAGTTCCACACTGACGAAACAACTGTTCAGTGCTTCCTGATTTTGAACAGCTGCCTAACTGTAACCAATTGAAAAGAAGGCCTAAATATTCATCCAACCTGGATTGTTTATCCAAACAACCACATTTGACCCTATTTATTTTTCACACCATCTACGAACACACACACTTAAAAATGCATACATTATTCATTTCCACCTTCTGACTCACAAGTTAGTACAGTGATATTTCATACAAGTTCACCTTGGCCAAAAGATAACTTGACAATGACATATTCAGACTTATTATTATAATGATTGTACTAAAGATATTCTTCATGGCTTCCATTGTACTAATTAAACTTGTGTTAATTTTATTTCGGTTATTTATTTACTCTGAAGAATTAGCTCACATTAAGTTATGAAATGTCAGAAATACAATTTTCTACTCATTGGGATATCATAAATAGTACATTCATTACTAGTTGTGACCAGTTCATGATATAATCTATGAAATTCAACAATCTCCATAATCTTCTTACACTAACAACATGTTACTTTTATCAATTATTTCTTCTTCTTCTTCTTCTTAGGTATTTTGGGGATTAGATAAGAAACTAGCTCAACGTAAACACTTTCCTAGTGTTAATTGGCTTATATCCTATTCAAAATACTTACGTGTACTAGATGATTATTTTGATCGTAATTTCCCAGAATTTGTTGCATTAAGAACTAAAATGCAAGAAATTTTACAAGAAGAAGAAGAATTATCTGAAATTGTACAATTAGTTGGCAAAGTAAATTAACAAGAATCGAGTAAAAATAACATGTTGAATAATTTTTTTATCGTTTATTCTGGTTAACGTTTTTTCTTAATAAAGTTGTTTTTTACAGAATGAAGTTGTTGAATCTATGCTCAACCCTTCTCTTTTACTCGGGCTTGGGACCGAAAGTAACTCTAGAAGAGCTACAGGGGGAGTTTTGATATTAGGATCAATTAGATTTAATAGTTATATAGATTAGTGGTAAAATTATGTTTGATTTTCAACCAAGTAGGTCTTGCTCCACTATAACTTTTTCAACATGTACCAACTGGATTATATCAGTAGGTATCATACAAAATTTGTTGTTTATCTTGCGTCGAACTTGACTGCATAAACATTTACTTTATACATGGATTGTATCATCTGTTTAGTTAATAATTAATATTTTTCTTAACTAAAATTATATACATTAAATTTCCATTCTTTATTCAGAGATTTATCTATTTTCAGAAGGGGGTTTTGTGGAGATTTAAGTAATTTTATATAGTTGAAATCATGAGTCAATTGAAGTTAGACAACCATGGAAAACCTGAAAGCATTGGATGGCCGTTTCGTCCTATTGTGGGACTCATCAGCAGTGTGCATCCACGATTCTGCCTCGCGAGATTCGAAGCCAGAACCTATCAGGCTCGCGCGCGAGCACTTAACTGATAGCTTCAATCGACTCATCATTCCAACTACATAAAATTTATCTATGTATTCATTTATAGAAGATAAGCTGATATTATCAAATCACATCAAATTAATTGGTTCATATCATATAATCGCTTTAAATATGATTTCATGTGATCTGTTGAAGTGAGCTAGAAATAAACTTTTGGCTCCATTGTAGACAAGCTACTCAAAAAGTGGTTAAATACAAAGTACTTATGTACAATGAAATTTTCAATAATCCAGAAATGGAGAAAAATCCTCTATAGGTTGTTCAAAAGAAGTTTGTGTAATCTTCAGGCTTGACAGATTCTTTAGTAATGAAATAGCCACACTTCATATTTTAATGTATATATATTTATCCATAATCAAAACTAAACACTAACTTACTATTAAAGATTTGGCCACTTTATATCTACGTTCCTTTACAAGATCACATCAGATACGGTATCGTTAATGCCATGAGGTATTGGAAAGCTAGAACTGTCTTGACCCAGTTTGAAGGCTATCAGGCAGTCACAGTCAACCGTAATCTATACATTCATTAAAAATGAACTCAAGGTATAGATTGCATTGCTTTTAAATGTAACTTATTGGTAGTCTTACTTGTATTAGTTTTTAGGCGGTCAATCATCAGTTCAAATCCTGCTTCATCTACTGGATTTTGGTATTCAGATAGAAATCACTATTCTTCACACTTATAATCTACCTCGAAAGAAGTACACTAGCTTGTACTTAACAAATGAGTTACTTCACTTCCTCTCATACCTAGATATCAAGCTCTATATTCAAAAAGAATATTTAATGTTCTTGGTTTTCTCTCTTCAGTTGTTTATTTATTAAATTATTATCAAGCACACATTCCATTGATCACATTTTTCTAGGCATCTCTAGCAGAGGCAGATAAAATCACACTGGAAGTTGCACGTATCATTAAAGATGATTTTCTTCAACAGAATGGTTATTCATCGTATGATAGGTAAATCAGTAGTAACTATTTTCTTCTTTTTGTGATGTATAATTTATACGCAATATACAAGCATAATGTATTATCGTATTATTTATATAACTCCTTTTCACTTTATATGATAAATACTTGAATTAGTACTGGAGTTCTGTCGGGGATTGTTGGATTTCCGTAGATTACATCATCCGTTAACTCTAGTTAGCCAACCGGGAAGCAATATACAGCCGTTTCGTTCTAGTACAGGAATGTTCAGTAACACTGACTCACTATTGCACTGGGGATCGGACCTAGGATCTTCTGTCTTATGATGAGTGCTTAACCTCTAGACCATGTAGCTGGCATTCAATGGTGGACATGTTCCGCTTCAGTCAATTCCTATTGTATGACTTTCTGTTATTACCTGAGTTAGATAACCAAACGTCTGAATTGTTCTGTGTTATAGTGCTAGTGCGCATATTTTTACTGACAAAACTATGGAAGCGTTTGCGTGCGAGGCCGAAGGTCTCGGGTTCAATTCCTTCACACGGGGTCGCGGATTTGCACTAGCGAGGAGTCCCGTTCTGGGACGAAATGACCGTACACTGCTTACAGGTTTTCAATGGTAGTCTAACATCGGTCGGTCCATGATCTCGACGAAACTCAATAGTCTGCACAACTCTATACTGATAAGCATTCAAAAGTATCGAAATGGAAATCTTTAAATTGTATTATATTCAAATCCCAATGTGTTTCAATTATTTATGTTAATCCTGGTCATTGAAAACCAGTTCTGATGAAATACATAACTACAGATCACAGACTTTTCGCTTAGGTATTTTAATCAGGATGTACATTTGACAGCAACTATTAGCCGATTACAGTTCTGATTATCAATAACGGGAAATTACAAACTACCTTTACTATTCTGGGATTGGCCCTGAAATTTCAATCTCTCTGTGCTACTGAAGTATGGTAACTTTAACCGATGTACACACATACCCGGTTTCTACGTTATATTTGACTGATTGGTTGACTTACTGATAACCTGCTTTTTGCTACTTCGTCAGTAATCTTACTGTTGATTGTTTATTGCCAATACTTTGTCAGTTTATAAAATATTACTTTTCAACGATAAAATTTTTCTGGTTTTGTCTACATGATCAGTGCAATAGCTGTGATTGGTGCTTCTTGACTTCAAGTGACGCGTTACAGATAATATTTACTCTGTTTTACTCTAGATCTTGAGTTCCAGTACTACATAATACATATCTTTTCATCCTATTTTTATTTTTCCGAACTGTATTCTCGATGTTTAGTTTTTCTCATTATTGCTAGTAAATCATATTGGTTCCTTTGCTATTCATCATGTTGAGCTAATTCGGTATACTGACATGAATGAATAAACATATGTGCCAGGCTGTACGTTAACTATGACTGATTGGTATCCTACATAAATCATCACTATGTTTTTCAGTTAAAAATCTATTAACTTAGGACGTATGTCAATATGAAACTCGCAATTTTTGTTAATAGTCTTTAAAAATTTGTACATCAAGCTGTACTCATAAAGCCATCGTTCATCACATACTCATTACATAAGTGGATAGATTTTGCTTGGTACATGTAAAATTCTAATATTCAATGACAGTAAGTGATGTCGGTCGATATCCTGCGGAATACATCTCCCTCAACATTCTTTATGTACATTTTACTTACTCACGCCTATTACCCTTCGTGGAGGAGCATAGGCCGCACACCAGCATTCTCCATTTAACCCTGTCCTGAGCAATCCTTTCCAGTTGTTATTCATCCTTTTCATATCTGCTTCTATTTCCCGGCGTGATGTGTTCTTTGGCCTTCCTCTTTTCCGCTTCCCTTCCGGATTCCATGTTTGGGATTGCCTCGTGATGCACATTGGTGATTTCCTTAATGTATATCCGATCTTATGTAAATTTTGGTGAAAAGTAATTAAATTACTCAAGATTGAAGACCAGAAACTTCTACCGACTGTTTTTTACTATCCAACATCAAATAATAAAATTCACTTTTATATTACACTACTTTTGCTACTTATGCGGACAGATATAAGTAGTATTCATGAAGAATTGGAAGTAAGATTCTTACTGACAGAAGTGGAACATGAGGAGAAGAGTAAAAATAAGAAGTAGTTCGAGTGGCAACGCGAACAGAAGAATGATGGAGTTTGTAAGAGACAGTTCAAGGAATTTGTGCAAGTGGTCTGTTCAACGTATTGTTTTTATATTTTACAAACACATTGTATGACTTCATAAAAATAATAAGTTGGTTTACCCTATCGAAGTCTTCCCTCGTTACACTTTGAATATTTTACATACGACATTTCATCGTCAAAACAAATCCATAAATACCAATAATAATATTATTATTATTTTCATATTTGAAATCATGAGTCAATTAAAGCTAGACCACCTTGAAAGACCTAAAAGCACGGCCGTTTCATCCTATTATGGGACTCCTCAGCATTGCGCATCCACGATCCCGCACTCGCGAGATTCGGACCCAGGATCTACCAGTCTCGTGTCAGAACACTTAACCGACAGATTATTATTATCATTATTATTATTATTCGATACAAATCTTACTGTTCTCTCGCAGAAACATTAAAAAAGAAAGGGATAAAACACTTATCATCCTACTTTTCTTTTCATTTAGATTTTGTCCATTTTATAAAACTGTTGGTATGATGAAAAATATTATTGCATTCTATGATCAAGCTAGACATGCTGTTGAAGTAACTGCTCAATCTGATCGTCGTGTTACATGGGCATTGATACGTGAAGCTATGGGTCAAACAATTTATAAAATTTCTAGTATGAAATTTAAAGATCCTACAGCTGATGGAAAGGTAAACAATTTCAAATGGAAAGTTTTTTTTCTTTTTTGTTGTTGAAATAAATCTCACTTTTATGAATGACCGAAACGGTATGATTACTAAATGTTTTGTCCATAACCAACATTTAGTTATGGGACTATTCAACGGTCCCCATGCACCACCAGTCCATCAGAAATGAAACCCGGGAATTTTAAGCCACGCAGTGACCGCTTCACTTCTGGACAATTAACCCGGCACTCTGGTTATTAATAGTAGTCTAACTAGGATTAATGGATGATGTTATCTGTGAAAATTTGACAATCTCAACAAACCTGCCATTCAACAATTGGCAGTTGAGTTAGACAAACTCGTTAAGTAATAATCATTAGATATATTTATTTATTTATTTAAACACATAAATATTGGTACAAGGAAGAACCAAATAAATATGCGCCTCACAAATCTCATTCGATTTGTGTGAGGGCTGTGATACTGCTCAGGTGCCCAGACTGAATCAGGTGGTTTTCTTAGGAGGCCACACCCGGAGCCTTTGATCTGAATTTCTGATCCACAAGGCAGTGGAGCATCTTGAGGAGATGCAGTCCCATGGTAGCCGGTGATCAACGGTTGATTCGTACGCCATTTGTTCCTTCAGGATACTGGAGCCTATGTGCACCATTGGTTTGGAATCAGGGTTTGCCAACTCCCCTAAGTGAACTCTTTGTGTCCACCAACCTGGTTAATGTGCCAGACATTCGCTTATATTCCATACTATTGATGAAGTACATTTATTATTTTACATTCTTATTGTTACCTTATTTAATCGTTGTTTGTTTGTTTTTTTCATAGGAGAAAATTCTACGAGACTATGATGAATTATATGAAGAGATATCATCTGGTTTTAGAAATCTAGAAGATTTATAAATGAATATATCTAAGTACTTTTTCATTTATTTATCAACGTTTATTTATTTATATACTCTTGAAATTATCTAATTATCAACATATTCTCATCTCTTAAATTTCTTTTTATTCGTGTTTCATTTTTCTAAGTTTCAAAAGTTCCCTACTTACTGTCTCTGTTCTTCTCCACTATCATGGTCGTTTACTCCTTGATCTTATAATCGTTTTTCTTTCTGATTGTCTTTCTTTTACAATATCTCGTTATTTTATTATTTATCCACGGAAATTTTCTTGTCATTATAATTACTTACTTACGCTTGATACCTCTCGTCGAGGAGCATAGTCCGCTCACCAGCATTCTTCATCCAACTCTGTCCTGAGCCTACCTTTCCAGTTCTTTTCAGTTGTTATTCGTTCTTTTCATATCTACTTCTATTTCCCGTCATTCCAGTTGCCTTCTTCTTTTATACCTGTTCTAGGAGAAGAGAATAGGGATGATGATGACGTTGATAATTATAGTGTGAGGGAGTAAAATGGATACAGTTAACATTTCAAATAGTACACAATATCACTTATGTTAGTAGTAATAACAATTATATATTGTAATAATAATAATAATAATATTAGTAGTAGTAGTAATATCAAGTTGACCAAATTTTATAATTCTTTCGTCTATCTCCCATTAAGTAAAACACACATGTAAACGCTATGTGATGATTCCAATGCATAATATTGTTTGTTATTCATCTACACATATACATATAAAACAAATGCCTAATTGTTTTCATTCCTAAGTATCATCATTATTCTTATAATGAATATTCTTTATTCATACCATCCTGAATGTATTCCTATCTGGCTCTATCGGTTAAATAAATATATATTCACATTTTCATTTCAAACTTGTTACCATCCAATGTTTTGTCCCTTTCTTCTTTATTATCATTATTGTTATACTACTTATTTACTTACTGTTGACAACTTCTTTGTTGGTATTGTCTTCATCGTTGACTTTCTTTTTTTTCTTCTGTTTCTTATTGTTGCTGTGGTTGTTTGTTGTTGTTGTTGTTAGTATTATTTAAACAAAATTCATTTGAAAATCACCAATCAACTTTACTATTATTACCAGTGATTACATCAATCACCAATACAATAACAAAATAAATAATTATGGTTGTTTTGGTGTATAGTAGAACAATAACGCATTCAATATATTTATACAATCATTTTCTTATTATAAAAAAAGGGAAAAATATATTTATATTGTTGGGTATTTTAAAGAATTTTGTATATTTTCATTTTAACCTACTACCTGTTTTGGTAACGTTTAAGATATGAAACATTAATTACGCCTGTTACTGCTGAAGGAATATAGGTCGCCGACCAACATTCTCCAACACACTCTGTTCTAGACCTTCCTTTCTAGTTCTATTCAGTTTTTGTTCATTCTTCTCATGTCTATTTCCATTTCTCGACATAATGTGTTCTTTGGTCTTCCTCTTCACCTGTGACCTTCAGGATTCCATGTAAGAGCTTATCTTGTAATGCAGTTGAGTGATTTCCTCAATATGTGTCCTATCCACTTCCAGCGTTTCTTCTTGATTTCTTCCTCCGCTGGAATCTGGTTTGTTGTCTCTCACAGTAGAATGTTGCTGATAGTGTCTGGTCAGTGGATTCGAACTATTGTGCGTTGATAACTGTTAATAAACACATGTATCTTCTGGATGATGGCTTTCTTAGTTCTCCAATTTTCAGCTTCATACAGTAGAACTGTCTGGATATTCGTATTGGAAATTCTGATGTTGGTGTTGGTTGATAATTGTTTAGATACGAAACCTGACGTACATGAATTCGATCAATCGGAGGACTAATACACTACACTATATTATTAATAATTCATGTAAGAATAAGTAATAAAAATGATAGGACTTTTCGGTGACCTATAACATTCCGAACAGAAATCAAAACTATAATAGAACAACTCGGTTGATATATGTGATCTTGTGGGAATAAAAGTATTTAGAACACAAAATTGTCAAGAATGATCAATGAAATAAGTAGCTTCAGTTATGAATATAAAAGGAAGGTTACCATTATCTTTTTAATTACATAAGCCTGTTACTCCCAATGGAGCATAGGCCGCTGACCAACATTCTCCAACGCAAAAAATTAATGTAGATAATTTGTAGTCTTCCTAATATATTTCATATAATACTGATAAATTATATTCTCATTACAGAATAGGAAAGTTTTAGTGTTATGGTAGATATACGGTAGTGGATTTTAATTAGATGTTTACGTTTCTTAATATCTTCTAAGATAACTCTCATTAGTTCTCCATTTGAAGTTCGTTAATGATGGAATTACTCAAGATTACACACATACAAAATACTCCATTCAATGAATACGTGTTTTTTTGTAGAATTTCAGCATTTAGAATACGTGCTTATTACCTTGAGATAGTGAACTTTTCATTTGAAGTGTTATCATGCGTCTTTCTCTACTGTGCTTTGAGATATTTATCTTAATGTCTTTTTTTTATTTCTTTATATACATATGAAAAATTCTGTATCACAAGGGGTTTTTTGTGGAGGTTTTAGTAGTTTTTTATAGTTAAGGTCATGAGTCAATTGAAGCTAGACCACCGTGGAAGCACTGGACGGTCGTTTCGTCCTATTATGGGACACCTCAGAAATGCGCATTCACGATCCCGCCTCATGGCCGTCAAGTGGTTTTCCACGGTGGTCCAGCTTCAATTGATTCATGATCTTAACTATATGAAAAATTCTGATTTGTTTTCACATAAACAGGTTCAGCAAACTGGAATTATTACTTAATTCTGTAGTTGTGGAGCTCAACTAAGTCTGTTTTAAGATATCGACCCACTGAAGACAATAGTGGACGCTTGCTCAAACATCGTGGATTGGTTGAAGTTAGACATTAACACCGTTGGATGCCGGCTCCACAGGTTAAGCGCTCGTGCGCGAGACTGATAGGTCCTATTTTCGAATCTTACAAGGAGGGATCGTGATTACGCACTGCTGATGAGTCGCACAATAGGACGAAACGGCCGTTCGATGCTTCCAGGTTTTCCATGTTGGTCCATCTTCAATTGACACATCATTTCAACTATTCTTATAGTTGTTTATCATAAATGATGAAAAATACTTAAAAAGCATTAAACTGAAGTCATTATCAATTAATAAGTTTAATGTCTTAACTATGTAAATGATGAATACATTACTATTATTACTACTACTATTAAATATGATAATGAAAAAGTATAGTCACTTTATCTCTCTCTCTTCTCAGTCATGCATAAATAAAGATTTATATACATATATGTAAGTGATTCATTACTTACACAGCGATGTATAACTGACTCCAATAGGTTTAATTGAAATTGTTATATGAATATTTAATAAATATCACTTTGGTAGTATAATAAGTGTGTATAAGATGTAAATGAGAACGGTTTGGATGACCTTTCTCTTTTTTTCTTTATACAAAATAGGTTTCTTCAAAAAAAAATACATTATATGTAAATGTAAGGATTTGTAACCTAGATAGATAGTTGACACTAAAAATTCTAATTGATTAATCTGTTTTGTCATTCATGGTGTTATATTCTATTGAAGACATAAGTACAGTTAACTTCCGGGACCTATTGATGGACGATTATTCGGTGTATATATTCTTATTCTTTAACTATTGAGTAATTAGATTGTGTATATCTATATTCATTTTATTATAAGCTTCATTTTGATCTATGAATTATCACTGTACGATTTACTGTTCCCAAATTATATTCAGTTTATTCACTATTCCCTCCCATGTTCACAGCCACATTTGGCTTAATCTTGTACAAATATTCTTTTCTATTTTGTGGTGTAATGCCGTCTCTCTGTTTGGTATATAAGCCGAGTATACCTGAAATAAATGATTCGCATAGCAGAAGTTGTAATTGGTGTTTTTTGGACTCAATTGGAAGAGGTAGGAAGACAAGGGACTAATAAGGATGCTAGACTGCTCATACCAGTTGAACGTCATTGATTTGGCACAGTATTGAGGTCATGAAAGTCGTATTCCGATTAGTAGATAAATCATGTGATAAAGAGCGGACCTTAAATCATAACTAATTAGCATGCGTCCTATATTTTTAAAAAAAAATCATAACAAATGAATCCTGTGAAAATTGTCTTGATGTTACTATTTTAGTCAAAAGTCTTTATAAAAGTTTAATAGAGGTCAGCAGTGGAATCCAAGACATTCTTTTCATCCCATTTGGGACTGGCCAACTGAATGTACTAGGACTTAAATCCAGAACCTAACGTGTTATTCAATTAGCTATCGAGTACAGATAACCCACAGCATTATACCTACATATGAGTCTGTTTACGTTTAATTTTGCTAAGCCTTTTAATTAACTTATTTAACAGACAGTGCCATTCGGTCAGTAACAATTTTTCTATATCTTTATTATTATTACTAAGTTCGTATGAGCATATATGCTTGATCTTATGTAACAGCCTATAGACATATTTCACTTACTAGCTTAAATGTTAGCTGCTTAAATCGATCTATGATTCAATCATTTGTTTATTTATATGTACTTCCTAAATCGTTTTTTTTTAATATTTCATTTGCTAACATTCATCGGTATTTCTGTTTGTATTCGCTTTGTGTGCTTGTGGTATTTTAATCTGCACTTTACAATAATAAACTTTAGCCAACATTTCATATTGCCTTCTAAGATTCATGCACCATTTGGAGTTATCTAATGATTATTAGGTCGAACGATATATGAAGCTATCTCGAAGTAACTCTACTACAAGTTGGTAGAATATGTAATAGGTGATGGTTTTATTTGTAAGATTCTTTTTTTCTCGTTGTTGATGTTAAGGACTAAATGTTTATAAATATCCTCTTATATTGAGATAAGATGGTGTTTAGAGGTGGTCAACAGGAAACCCTAGACCCGGGTGTCGTGCTACTTGGCACTCGTCAGCAAGGTGTATCTGTAATCTTGAGGGAACTGGTGCATCCCGACGGATTCGACCCCGTGTCACTCAGTTTCACAGTCAGAGACGGTACCACTGGGCTATTCGGGCCGCGACCGACCTCATGTAGAACTGAGAAGTAATCACAATTGATTGATCACTGGGTGGTGATCAATGTCATGCATGACAAGTCCTTCTTAGTGCTGATCGGATGCTATCGATCAAGTTGCAATGTGGTCACTAGTCTAGGTGTCTCGACACTACGTGCACTATGTTGGGATAAGATGGTGGTTCTATGAGCACTAAGAAGTATGTCATTGATCACCACCCAGTGATCAATCGATTGTGATCCTCCTATAATCGATGTCACGTGATAATGTGTAAGTTACGGAGCTATTACAAAGTTGGGGAGACTAGATAATTGTTCATCTGGAAACATTGTCCGATGAGCACATTATATGACAAGTAGACTGGAGTTTTAAAATATAATTCCACACATTCAATATTAATAGAAGTAAGTATTTTCGATTTAAAAGTCAAACTGAAGGTTTGTATATATCATGAAAAATATCTTTGCCGTTTAGCTCTTAAAAGTAGTTTCAATGCAATCTAGTGTCAACTAGAGAAGTAGAAAAGGCAAAGAATAACTGAATTTCCATCCAGATATTAAGTAGTTTGCAGGTAATCCTAGACCTAGGTTTCACACCATTTGACAATTTTCAGAAAGAGAACCGACGTGTCTATTTTCAGTCCAAACCGACATTAACTAGTTTCTGATTATAAAATATAACCATCGAGCTATTCGTGCAGTGGATATCTGTTTATCTAATAACAACACACTTCGTTGTATTCAAAGTCATTTGTCGGAAAGTATGGTGTTTGTTATAGAACATGAGACCTAAAATGAAGAGTTGAACACAGTGTTCAGATTATTAGCGTACACTTAGAGAATTTGGAATTAATACAAAACATCAATCTACTGTGGATGTGTTACCTATGTTCACATATATAAGTAGTATGTAACACCGGTCGGAATTTGAATGTCTGCGAGTAAAAGGTTGAGAAGATTGAAACGAAGAGAAGAGGGAAGGAAACTGTAAGCAATCAAAATAACAACAGGAATGAAGGAACAACAAGGCTTGTAATTAAGAATTCGAAGATGTGCAAGTGATGTATGATCTTTACATTTTACAAAACCATTGTATAACAGTGTATATATTTCGTAGAACTAAATCATTGAGGAATCCGTAAAGCTTTAAGACAATGATCAGTAACTTGGTACAAAGGTACCATTATATAACATCTGCCTAATAGTAAACTAAATGTTGATATTTTCAAATTTCTCAAAATAATCAATACGTGAACAACTTCTAATTTACTACGTTACACCAAAACCTGATAGAAACCAAAACGATATAGTTCATTCTAGTTGAACAATCACTTCTGATCATGTTTAAATATATATAATCGAATAGAATGAAAGCTTATCTTCTGGCGAACT